GTGTTAACCAGGGGGTGTGGAGTGGAGCGTCAAGGTACGGACTCGGCCGCCCCATCCACGTGCGCCTTCCGCCGCCTTTGGTCTTCTTGATTATGTCTTGATACCGGGCCAGGGTGGGGAAGGATGAGGGAGTGCGGTAGATGCTGCTGAAGTCCACATTCGCCGGAAACTAAGTCGCGTGCAAGTCACCGTGTCCGATTCACCTTACTGTAGAGCACACGGTGGATATCGTCGGCAACGACGGTCAAACTGTCGTGTGTTTTAGTGCAGGAGGATTATAAAATGTCTACTTGGTCTGATTTGTGGATTCTCGACGACGTGTCGGGACACCTGTCTCGAAAGTCACTTACAGGAGAATCATGATGCTGATAACACAAATAATGATAACAGCAAAAAGAAAAACAATTAAAAAGATAACCAAGAGGAAGAAGGACGAAGGTTGTAACTGTGGCGTTGGTCATGGGGCAGGGCACGGTTATCGGCACCCCCATTTTAACGGTGGCCTTGCGCTAAATTCGAGGAGGTTGGGGCTGGAGTTAGTGTTAGGGTTACGGCCAGGAGTGTTGGTGTTAGCGTTAGGTTAAGGTCAGGCCAGGGGAATAGAAACCTGGAGTTTAGCGCAAGGCCACCTGTAATACGAGGGTGTTAATTCAGGTGTCCAGGAGATTATGATTATTGTTATTATGAAGATGCTGAAGCGGAAGATACTGATGACGATTAATTTAATTATGGAAACCGAAATTCAGCAAACACCTGGATCGAATAATGTAAATCAGACGTCCAGAACCTACGGATTCTTCACGGGGAGTGAATCGCCGTCGCGGGCTGACGAGTGCAAATAGGCGACTGTTGTCCTTTTCGCAGAGCTATCTTCTGCCCAGGCTTGAGGACGCTGATCAGAAAAAACACCGGGGTTACCAGTTGTTATATTTTATCCGTTCCCCTGGGAGCTTTTCCTTTTCCAGCTACGGGGCTCTTCTGCACGAGTACACCCTGCAGAAAGACTGCGGGTATCTCATTATCAAATACTCTTATCAACAAAGCTATCCGTGGAGGTTTCAAACTGTGTAGACACCAAAAGTGCGAGTTAAACGCTTCAAACTGCTATTTTTATTGAACTGCTGATAGATGTAGTAAAGGATCAGACGCCTGCGTATACTTTAAACTATTGTTTATTCAAGAATTTGTTTAAAAATAAAACTAAGGTTGCTTTTCCGTCATTTATTCATTTGCGCACACCTCCGCATAAGGAATGCCAATTATAATTATACGATTATGTGTATATTTTTAATCTAAGTAATATACACATATTCCCCAATATATTTATCGAAGGAGCCCGGTTTTAAAATAGTAAGACTCAAACCGTCAGATGACACTGTAACTGGCATGAGCATGGAGAAATTGTTACTTTTTGATTCGGAAGATGCGCAGTCGCATATTTGTAATCCAAACTATTTTCGATTGATGAAAAAGGGTCTTGTCGATAATTATTCATGTTTTTAATGCATTTGGATTTCTTAGAAAATATATTTTTTGACGGGGATCAAAGGTACATCACTTTGCAATTTCGGAATAAAAAGTGGACGAGCATTCAAGTAAACAAAATTAACGGAGAAAAAAGTGTGATTCCACAGTCCTTACATGTCGGCCAAAATGAACATAACTAAGAACTGTGAAAATTAACAACAAATATTTATAAATTATTTGCTTTGAAAATGACTGTCAAGTATTTGGTGGGTCTTGAGCGTTAAAACTCCTTAAACCAGCTGTGCCTCAAGAGATTCCCTTGCGACGGCTAAGATATAGAATTTTTATTCATCACGCAAGTTTTTTGTCATTTAATGTCTTATATCATCTTAAGAGCACCCCGTCTGCAAAAGACTGTTTCAAAAATAGAAACATTCGAGTATTCCCGTTGCTACCCACGCAGACATGAAAACGCAGTGGTCAGCAGGAACTTAATCACAAAATTGCATGAAGGGAATCTTAGCTTAATCACAGTTTCAGGCGAAAAAATATATGATGCGAATGATGAACTGGGATTTTTCAGCATCTCATGAACTTTTCATAATACTGGACTCCTGTGTGAGAAAGTGTCAATACCTGGGAAGCTAATAAGCCGTGAATTTTGAAGCGTTCAGTCCACGGTTGATATTTCACCCCTACCACCTTCAATTTTCTCGTGAATGTGGTAACATTTTCTTTCGCATATTGCAGTTCTGCAAAAAATTCATTGAGTAAGGGCCCTCCTAGTCACGAATATGATGTCATGAAGCAATAATAAATGTTTTCAGGGCACTCGAGAGGCAAAGAGCTTCAGGTTGCATAATCGTAACACCTGTGCAAAACTTGCGATCCCAACCCATCGGCTATTATAAGTTTATTGAAATTCTGGGACTTAAACGACGTAACTTAAAGCACTTAGGGACACTTTACAACTTCCTTCCTCGTTTACATATGTTTCTGGTCAAAGTCTCCTACGACGAAACTTCGCGATTGAGCATGTAGTGCGAAATTTTACACCCGGATAAGCGTCTAGAACATACGCAAAAAAATCTTTCCTTCAGTCTTATATGAGAGAAGTTTCGTTGTTGTGTATTCTCATGCTCTCATCCAGTCACCGTCCTATTGACTCGGTCTTTTGTTTAGCTTATCCAAAATGCTTGCATTCTGTAGTCGTTTTCTTTAATTTCCAGTAAAAGAAAGACAGATTCTAGATTTCCCTTTTTCGGATAAGTCGTACAAACACAGGTGACTGAGCTTTACTCCTTAGATCTGTGCTTGCGTCTATTATTAATGCCCACAGAGTTCCAAAGTCTGGTTTTTGCATTCACGAAATGCTCCCGAAATTGGTCACCGACGTCTCGCACCACATCTAGAATCTTGGGAAAACATGCCAGATGGTAACGGGATATCTCTTATAGGTGAAGCGGATTCACGTGCGGCTGTGTAATTGACGGCGTATTATGACGCAGAAATAATATCATTTTCGGCATTCGCATGAAGGATATAGATCTTTTTGCAGCGCCGTGTCATCCTGCCGGGTCTAAAGCCGTCGAGGACGTCAAACAAACCAAGCAAAATGCGCAAACTAGGGTATAACTGATCTCCCAGCAAAAACTACCGAAAAACGCCTACTCACGCAAATATAGTAGACAGTTATGGGTAGTAAACCCACCCCGGCCACCGCACATTTTGCTCTATATTTTATCCCGAAATCCGAAATTTCTTCGCGATCAAAAAAGCATATGTATATTTTTAGGTGCTTTTTCAAGCAAAATTGGACGTATTGAAAAGTGTTTTCCGGTTTGCCATTGATTTCCGAATGTCTTTTATTGAAAGACATCCTGGCTCATTTGGCGCTGGTTCCTCGTGTAGAAGTCTTATCAAACGAAAATAGTTTTCCGACGAAATGAGATCAAAGCAACTAGTCTTTAATAGGTGTAGGCTTAGAAAAGCTGGATAGAATAATCAATTTTATTTTACTCCCGTATTATATTTTACTATGATCCTCTCGTTCACTTTTCACGGTCTTTGAAAACATTTCTCCATTACATGCGTAGACTCACAAGTAAATGTTCCTGATCAATATTAGAAAGAGAGAACTATCAGGCCGAACGTTATTTGCTGTCATTATTTTGATAAACAGCAGTAAAACTTTTGATTTATTTTGTGGTATACAATTTTCTATGCACCTGACTAACTACTAACAAATAGTTAAGGGCTTAAATACAAGGCGGAAGAATAACGAAGTGAATGGATAATATATCGGCTATTTTTGCAAGTTCGCAAGTTTACACAACGATTCTATAGAGGTCACCCACGCAAAGTTTCCCCAGATAAAATTGCTCGAATAAGAAGTATCTTTTGGTTTTAAAAGACTTTAAATTCCCGAATAATTTTGAGACCGACCTGCCGTTGCACTTGTATTCGGGGTTTCCAAACTGCAAACTACATATTTTTCGTATAAGGGAAATCACACACCTCTATAAACCATTGAAAAGAGGATGTAAAGGACTCTTAAAATTTTGTAATGGATTTGGGCCACGTTGTCCACTTTATGAGTAGCATTAAAATATGTGCTGATGCGATGATGTACGATTGGCCATTTCGCGGTCTTGGAAAATCTCATGATGAAAAATTTTTCAAATAAAAATTTACCCTTTCTTCAGGTATAAAGTTTAAGTAGGACGTAATTTACCACCAAATAAACAAAAAGAATATTTTTGTATGTGACTTGCGCAAAATATACTTAGATTTATGCGACTATCGAAATTCCGTAGGAATAAATTATGCTACCTATGTAGTCATTTTTTGTGAAGCGTAGTCTATGTGATCGGTCGAAAAGAGCCTCATTGGAAAGCTGGCATTCTGTCGTGACTGAAACGTCTTCTCATTTCGCGACACTTAAATTATTATGGAAGCCATACTTAAGTAATCTTTCCGAGTCGAAAATCGTTTCGGAATTTCAGTCACCATGTCATGTGATAGCACATTTACTGTACCTCGTCAATTTTTTTAAGCAACAACAAGTGCCAGATTAAGGCGCGATAATTAAAAGAACAAAAAGCCGAATTCAGAAGACTATCCGTCATTTTCTAAAAGCTTCTGAGATGGCCTCATTTCCACCGAAACTCCTTGTTATCAGCGGGACTCATGGACACGAAACTAAAATTTTTCTGTTGTCCCACGCGACCGAAGGACTCACTGCCGCACGAGAAGTCTCTCGCTGAAATGGCGACTGTAGATTTCCCGAGAAATCGGCGAAAACTGCAGAGGTGCTTCCATGAGCATGTTTTCGTAACACTGATACTGGAACCCAACTGCAGATTCGAAACCAACCTTGAAGAGCCTGGTCAAACTTCTGCGGCCCAACAATGTCGGTGTTTTTGTCTACTATGAGGGCTGCGGCAATCAGATACCAATTAGATCGACAGCAAACCCTACCTCCCTCCAGCTCAACAGATCTTACGAAATTGGTGACGTGTAGACCGGGCAGGATGGTCGAAGCGAGCCCAGGTAGGTTAGTTGGAGGCTATCTGACCCTGCCTGGGATTCCACGCACAATCACGCCTGTCAGTCTGCCTATGGATCTAACTAACCTCGATCAATGTGGTGAATCAGCATCGCAGCCACCACACCCGTTAGGCGACTTCCAACAGTCAGGACATCCAAATAATCAATGGCCAAGACCGAATAGCTCGATAGGCGGTTTAGGGTATTGTCCGCGTCCTGTGTGCCGTTTCCACCTTGAGAAATGACAGCAGTTCCAGCTGTTTGAGACATCGATTTGTTCACAAGTCTCTCCACAAGTGGGGAAGGAATGCCAACAATGAGGAGGAATATTGGAGTGTCAATTTCTGACTTGATTGTCATCGTTAACTACAAGGTGAAGCGAAATAAGCAAGTTCCTTTCTGCAGTCATGCAACTGGTGCATCAGTTCCCCATGTCTATGGCAGAAAACAACTGGATTTTCCACGTGTTCATTGTGCATCGAGCGTTGTTTTCTCGAATTTCAATGTCTGTGGTCACCTTGGTTGGACTTCGTTTTTTGAACAATTCATAAATATGGCGTGCAGCTCTCTTATATTATCATCTAGAACCCTTAAACTTGCTGCTTCTCTTACATTTTTATCCGCACTTGGTTTGACTCTTACTCTTACTCTCCAGATTCTATTTAGATGCCATTATATCCGTTTCCGGATGTAATAATAATAAAATGAAATCTTGCGCCACGAACTGCCGTTAATAAGTATGAAAAATACCACTGATAGTCGAGTCCAAGTAAATAACGCCCCTTAAATAAGAAGAAGAAGAAGAAGAAGAAGAAGATGATGATGATGATGATGATGATGATGATGGTGATGGTGATGATGATGATGATGATGATGATGATGATGATGATGATGATGATGATGATGATGATGATGATGATGATGATGATGATGATGATGATGATGATGATGATGATGATGATGATGATGATGATGATGATGATGATGATGATGATGATGATGGAGTGATACGAAAATGCAAAAGTGAAAGTAAAGGGAGAAGGCAACGATGATGGCAAAGAAGACGATTGTGATGGCGACTAATAAGACGAAATAAATAACAGGAGGGCGACTGCACAATTGTGCTGATTTTGCGAACTAAATTTTAAACAAAAGGATTCATCGCTTGCGATCTGACACAAGCGACCGTGGTCCGCAGTGCACATTTATTGTCGGAATTTGCACCCTACTGAAAAAAATCGGTATTCCTTACAATGTACTATTACCTTTACCATGTCTTTTGTATTTTAAGCCCCTTAGAGTTTTTCTTTATTAGTATAGATATTGGATTCATGCATTGGTGTCGGTTTGCTAGTGATTAGCAACAATTCGTAAATGTCGACACTATTCATCTGTTTTGTCACGTTCTGTAGGTTTTCTTTGCTGCATCAAATGTGTTCCTTACGTTTATGGTGTTATTCGCCCTCTAAACGGTTTGTTGCAAGTGAATTTCTTCAATGTTTTCGCCCTTATTTTTGTGGAGGGTAGCAACTGTGACCTGCAGTTCCGAAGTTGGTCTAGTAAAAGTATCCTGGAAGTAGACCAGTGTGGTTTATAACAATGCAAAGGCTCACCACAGGAGTTAGGCGGGACGGAAAAAGTAATTTACTTGAAGAAAGTAGACAACGATAATGGCGAAGGCTGGTCGCTAATTAATTTGGCTCTCTATCTGGAATGCTGCCACCAAATAGCCCCAAACCCCTAATGGCATACAAGCGTTTATTAGCTTGTCTACTTGTCAGGCCTGAAGTGGAACGAGAACTTCGCTATCACTGTACAGCAATCCAATAATATCCACTGTCTGAGTAGTTTGTCAGTCGGGCAGCCGACCAAAACACACTGGGGGTGGATGATCACAATAACCGTGCTGATGTGCTGGAAGCCCCTGCCTACACCGTTGAACTCAACCAGGCAGGGTCGCGCCGCTTGTTGAAAGCAGTCCATCATTTCAATCGCGGAACCTACGTATATTCCATGCTTACCAAATGGTAGGTTTTTTTACAGCAGACGGGGAAGATGGATTCTAATCGTCGAACTTTTATTGCTCACTCATTTGCTAATGGCAGCTGGAGCAAACTGGGAATATTTTAAGCACAAAACCAACAAGACGTTGGTTACGCTTTCACACAAAGCAGTCCGTCATAATTTTGTGTCCTCTAGGCATGCAATAACAAGGAGCCTGAAAACTGCGCAAAACGTAATAGCGAGTCCATGTGCACAGCTGTTCTATGCACAGTAAATCATTGCATCGTCAGTACACGCGTATTCATTTTGGGGGTACGATTGAGTGTACTGGTTTTCACGCTATTGCGCTGTAATGCGCATACATCTGTAAGTAATGATTAACATGCCCCGTTTTCCATCCATTAAACTCGGCATATGGCGAGAGAAAAGATCGGAATGGGTCCAACGGACCTGCTTTTCATCCCTAAAATATGCCGACATACGTGCTGCCCCTGTTTAGGCGGATCCTGCGAACCGAGAAAGATGGGTGAGCTAACACCGGTTTTCCGAAATTTAAATGGCAATATGCTTATGCACGCTCCAAAGCGTAAGATAGTTCTTTTTGGCACTGAAGTAGGCCACTTAAAAGATCTTGGAAATTTAAGAAAATACAAGGGAGTGAAAGCGTCTAGCTCCAGAAAACCGTCTTTTAAGTAGTCAGTTATTATTTTCTAGAGATTTTCGTCCCACTTGGAAGAAACAACTATGTTTGCAGACTCTCAAAATCATTTATTTTGCCGCCTGGAGCCCTGTCATGGATTTCCGAAAGAGAATTTGCAATAATTGCTTTCCTTTTGTTGGACTACCCGAGATCTGAAAAATGACACAATTTGAAGTGAGTCAAATATAGATAGCATGTACAGTGGATAACCTACCTCAAGAAATTTGGATCGAAATTTTAAGGTGTGTTTTTTGTTGGAAAAGGCGGGGTTGTAATACTGATTGCCATCCAACATAATCTCAAGATATATCAGTTACGTCAGGATGCCGGCGTTTGAATACGCCTCCTTTTGACCGCCTTGGCAATCACATTCGGTATGAAGTGGCTACACAAGTAGTAGAATTTTTACACTGACTTTCAATAAATAAGATTCTGCCATGGCTGTGAACCAGGATGTATAGTTTACAAGCAGCATTACTGGACAGACAGGTGCGATATTGTTTGAATGGATATCGCACGATCTTAAAAGAGCTCATAATCGCAAACTTTTATTAACGGAGATATATCCTTTCAGCCCGTACAAAAGCTGCAGAAGACGTAATTCTCTACAAAATGAGTACGAGATATCCTTGTGCATGTTTCCTATCAAAGATATTTGAATTTGTAAGTGCATCGGAAATCGACGTGGAAAAATCATACTACTTATGCAGGCGTTTTTTTTTTACCGAGAATAGGTTTCGCTGGTGTCGGAGAAGAAACTCCTTTAAAAACCGATACTCTAGCGTAACTGAAATATCTTGGGACTATGATGCGCAAAAATCCATATTACAGCCTCACGCAAGTCATCCTTTCAAATCGAAAACCTATTTATGAATTTCGGTTAATATTTCGCGAAATAGGCCAGCTACTGCACATTGCAGATAGTTGCCTGTAGTTCGGCGGGAAAAGGGGAATTCGGCTGTCAAACTGTCTTCACCATACCGTAAAACCTACACCTAATGCATTTCTGAGTCTGGATTTCCAACAACCCAACTGGAACATTTAAAGCTTGCGGAATCAAAGAGATGTCCTTGAGAAATAAGGGTGAAGTTTCAAGCCCCAGACTTTGGTCGAAGTAAAGAGGAGTTGTGGATCGCCAAAGCATCAGTATAGTTTTCTGAGCTAACAGACCCGCACAGGTATCCATTCCCTGAGACCGTAAAAACGCACCAAAAGTTGGTACCGGTGGTAGAGTCGCACACACATCCGGGTCCCTCTAGTTCCTGGCCCACTCTATTATGTTTGTGTTAGCGAAGTTGAATTCATTGTCTGTCTCTACACTGCGGTCAGTGAATCGAGACAGCCGGCGACTCCTCACATGCAATCTGCTTGTCGTCGTACGCATGACCTTCTTGCTCTCGAACCTGCCCATTTTGGTCCGACCGCCGCATGCGACGACGTACGTCGACTGCCCCACGAAGCGGGCGCAGCATCCGGGTCCTACGCGTGAACTAAGTTCATAGTGGGGCAGCCAGATGCGGAACCTATCAAACTCTCCCCCCCTCTACACCCACCTTGCTTCCATGTCAATGCATTGGCCAGACGACCGCAGGTGGGTTCAGACTCGGGGGGCGACAAGGCTAATCAGTCCGTCTATACATGTCACATGACCTGATCCCAGCCGCTTGGATCTCACATGCCTGAGGGTACCACAGAAGCCACAGCAGGAAGGAGTCATTGCAGCCTGACACTCAGTCTTGGCAACTTTCCAAGCTACGAATCCTAGCGCTTCAAATTTATTATGGCGAGGAGTGCGTTGGTATGCGGTCCGTCTGAGCCTGCCAACTAACTGCTGATGTGATTCGGAGCGGCGACCTACAAAATTTAGCACGCACGTCTGCGCGTTCAACACGCACGAATGGGTCCCATAGCGCGTACGCCTACACAAAAGGACATGCTTCTTACTTAAATAATAATATGAAAATGTTTTATCGTGCGACGTCTCACCCATCAAAATGACAGTAACAATTAGGACGGTGCGCGTTTGCCGCAGGAGAGAGGAATAGTACTGCGTGGGTGACATGTACGCGCGCACTGTGAAGTAGATTCATGTGTAGCCTTGGAAGTTGTGTGGGCAAATAGGACGAGCTGCTGTGAGCGGTCTGGACTGTGGCATTTTAACGAAGTTTTTCATGGAGGCGCATATGGCCTAATAAGCCCATCAGATGGTCCATTGTCCTGGAGCAGTCTGGGCAGGTGAGACTGGAGCGACGGCTATATGTTGCAACTCCACACACTGGTTCATCGGTCTCAGTGCGATGGATTCGCAAAAAACCAGACCGATGCGGGATGCGAAAGTGCGCTCGCAATGGGGATAGGTCGGAACCGAGTCGATACTGCTGGTGGAAAGGGCGATGGTGGTGGTAGTATGCAGGCTGGTAGAATTTCCCTCATCGGTAGTGCTAGAGGCGGTGGTACTGATGGTATTTTGTGAAATGAGTCGAGTTTTTTTCATTGTGGAGTTTACGCTGGGTACAAAGATGTCCAGCGAAACCGGCCCGCGACATGCAGGTTGCCCTTGTGCCTTGACACTGGCTATTTGGTTGGCTTCGAAGACGGCTGTTCCAGTCCACTGAGCAGCTCGTCAGGCCTGTCGATCTTGAACACAGTCCAGTCAGGTCCCTCGCTTAATTCACAAGTGCTTGTTAGAGTTTTTCAGTGTGTCCTTGTAGGGACAGTTTTATTCGCCTTGTGTGCGTGTACCACCTAGCGCAGACGCCGTAGAATTGTCGTTTGAGCGGGCGCTACTCGTCTATCACATGTGTATCTACCGGTGCGTCACATGAATACTGACGAATGAGGCTTTCGTCCTTAAGCTCCCTATTCATATCGATAAACAGAAATAAAGTCAAGTTGGCGAACGCACGTTTTCGGTAATTCTTCCTCAGGCCAATACAATTACATGAACGAATGAAAATGTACAAAATCAACAGTGTTTATAGATGCCTCAAGGGCTATTAAGTCACTAACACTCATCATCCCCACGCCGCCCGCATGAGAAGGTCGGCGGGTGTTAGTCGTCAGAGCTATCACGAGGGCATTCCCTGCGGCGAATTTACGCGTATGCTTCACAAACGCTGCCCTCCTACGTTTGGGAGGTAAAGACAGAATACCGTTGGAGGCCACATCAATGTGCATTTATTCATTCACTTGCTCCTGTGGAGCAGGATACATCGGCCGCACAACGAGACGCCTGGTAAAGAGGGTACGTGAACATATGCCCGCCTGGTTAGACAGAGGTGAGACCCGGTCGATTTCCAGTTCTATTCTCGCGCATTTAATCGATACGAATCACCGTGTCAATGCCAAGAAAGCATTTCAGGTTGTCTACCGGACACCAACATGCTTCTCTAAAGGCCTACGCCAACGGATACTAGCAACGGCCGAGGCAGTAGCTATACGGTCAGTGAATCCGGTGTTATGCTGTCAGAAAACTCTAACACAAGCGCTTTCGCTGCCGTGGCCAACGTCAACCCCAAGTGATGAAGCCATGCCGCCTCAAATCCCTAATCACGATGATGGTTACTCCGTGTACTCAACCCAAGATCATTACTCAAAGACTCTCTTACCCCTCTTCCCTAGCTCTGACGACTAACACCCGCCGACCTTCTCATGCGGGCGGCGTGGGGATGATGAGTGTTAGTGACTTAATAGCCCTTGAGGCATCTATAAACACTGTTGATTTTGTACATTTTCATTCGTTCATGTAATTGTATTGGCCTGAGGAAGAATTACCGAAAACGTGCGTTCGCCAACTTGACTTTTCAATTGTAACATGGGAATATTTGCGGAACTTAGAAATAAAGTCATCAACTACATCAGCAAATGCGGGAAGTTAAAAAGTTAGCGATAATTGTGAGCCAGGTGCAAAATGCCGCCGCTAAACAATCGTTTCATGCTGAGGAGAATGCAGCGGCAGTCCTAGGTGGAGTGCTTAGGCCAGCGGAAGTCCTGACCGACTTTGGGGATCAAGCTTGCAACGTCATTGTCGATTTTGATTTTTCCTGGAATTTTACAACCAGGCTGGACTATTTTGTCCAGAAATGTAAAGTGAGTCCCATTCTCGCTGATTCTGGATACGCCGTACTCATCAGATGGTGCTAGTTGATATAAAACCAGCTATTTTTCTGTGTAGACCGTCTGGCTGAAGTTTGTGCAGTTCTATTGCGTTTTCGTCTTCGTCGTGGTTTTGAGCGCTCAGCCGTCCGCGAACAGGAGATCATGAACACTGGTCGTAGAGGTTCTCGCGAATGCCTGTATGCGTTGAGTGTTGAATGGTTGTCTGTCAGTTCGATGGATGGTGTTTATTCCTGCACATTTCGCACGGCAGACCACAAGTGGCTTGGCGGAGATCATGAGACTGTATAGGAAGGGACCACACATGCTTCACCCGATTTGCCACTGCGGATGCTTCAGATATGGCCCGATTATCCGTGACACGAGCCCTCATACCGTCGTGGGGTTGACGCACCAACTGTGTAAAACGCTCCGGACATTCAAATTTCAACATATTTTTCAAGAGTTCGTCGTGGTTGTCTGTATCGAAGACCTTTGTCAAATCTAGGGAGATGGCGCAAAGTCTGTTTCGCATTTCTTATCATTTCTCTTGTAGTTGACAGGCACCGAGGATCATGTCGGTGATTTTGAGATCCCTTCCAAATCCACATCGTCTTTCAGGGAAAAATCCTTACTGAACGTGAAGATTTAGGTGATAAAGTAGTACTCAGACGAAGACTTCGTCCTCCGTACTAAGGAGAGAAATGCATCTGCCCGGTTCTCCCTGCCGTTGCATTGATGGACGATGGCTGGTCCTTGAGATTCTGAGGGATTTGCTCTTGTCTCCATATCGCTGGAAAGGCGAAGTAGGCTTGTCCATGAGTTGTGAGTCGTCCTGTTTCTGAAGTTCAATTGGAGTAAATCGGTGATCCATGTTTCGTCGTTGGACATTTACTGCACGACTTTTATGGTTTCTTATAGCGAGAGCTGCCAGCCGACGTCCGATTGGTTTCCATTTGAAAGGGTTCCTTGATGGCTTCGTTGGATCCTGAGGACATCTCTGGAGTTTACAGCTCAGCTCTCTTATATTTGCGGTTCTTCCACCATGAGGGCTGAGCAGTGGACGTAGGCCATATTGATGGGGACAAAGAAGTTCCTCGTTTAATTGGGGTCTGGAGACCCTTGCGTCTCCTCAGTCTTGTGAGACATCCATATATTTTGCATCTCAGTCACTGTCTCATCTGACTTTGGTATAGAAAGAAAGCCGTTTTTAGACCTCGGTTCTGTTGTTGACCTAGGTTGCATGCAGCTGTTTATTTTTGGAGGGCAGATTGCAGACCTTCCCGTCGTTGTCATCGAACCAGTCCGTGTGCTGAGAGTATACACACCTGGAGACTGCTAGACCAACGGAGTGGATTACGTTCCGCAGTTTACTCAGCTGCGTCTTTATAATGGCGTTATCATCCGGAACTTGTGTTTGTTCCTGACATAGATTCAGGGGATTGCTGAAATCTAACCGGCGATGGGTCATTTCCAGTAACACCGAATTTAACTAACCCTGTGCTCACCTATCTTGTAAATTCCTGAAAGATTTCAGTTGCGGATGATAAGACAGTGGTCTGTACAGCAGTCTGCACCGATTATCGCCTTTGCTACGAGCACTTCATTCTGGTCGTGCCGCCTGAGTAGGACGCAGTCGAACAGATACCAGTGAAACGAGCGCGAATGCATGCACGTCTTCTTCTTCTTCTTCTTCTTGATCTGCAGGAGAAGACTGCTTCTATGCTGACTCGCAGGTGGAGAGGGCCATTGCTGTTACAGCTGTAGATTTCGTGGTGACCGAGCACACCCTCCCAGGCAAGGTGGTCTGTGCCGACGAGGACCCTGAGGTCCCAAAGGGCAGGCAACTTTCGCGTCATCGACTCAGTTGCAGGGAAGACGCACAGGTCTTTTCTAGCGCCTGTTCTACATGTCATTGAAGCTGGACATTGTAGGACATAGACACTGACGACGGTTGTGAATTTGCCTCTGCGAAGAGGCTGGCGAAGGGCCATGTGGCGGATGTTAATGCCTTGCGACAAGCATGACAGTCCTATCTCAATGTCGTTCTTGATGACAAAGGCGAATCACCATCCTGTCACGTCTCCCTTGGGCATCCGCCCCTGGAGAAGGTGTAACTAGTACATGCCTCCTCCACTTGTCCTGATTCTTAGAATCTGGTCTAGCTGAGGGCCATGATGTCCATCTTGTAGCGCGGCAGTTCGCGGGCAGTCAGAGCTCTCCTGTCTTCTGGTCGGTCGATCAGAGGGTCGTCTAAAGGTAAGCGGACATTACACGCAGCCAGAAGAAGCGGTGTCTCTCTGGCAGCCGGCAGGGAAACCTGGGGATGGGAAGAGGTGTTATGGCTTCGATTGCTTACTTTGCGTCCACGAACCCCTGGCCACTTTACACACGGCGTGTTTACCTAGCATTTACACATGACACCTCTTTTAGCCGCTACCCCCGGGGGGGGGAGGGGAGGATGGGGGACGGTGGTGCTACCCCTAAATAGGGCAGCCGAGTCAGCCCTGGCTGCTGCTGGGTCATGACTTTTATTTAGAGGTAAGACTACCTGAATTAGCTTAGGCTACCTACGGGATTCCTGTCGCTCGCTCAGTAGGACTTTTGGATTTGAGGGTGGACATGGGTCAGAGGACACACTGGATAGCGTCATCTAATTTGGCATCCCTCTAGAAGCTGTTACCGGGGTATGAACACTAAGCGCAGCATGGCTTCAGCGAGCCACTGATGCGAACTGGGTTACATTTCAGGGCCTTGCAGCAGGCTTATGGCACACCCTGACTCTGAACATCCTCCTCACCCGTACGACCTCGTGATCATACACCCCGGTCCAACTCGCTAGCCATCTAATAGCACTCTCCAACATGCAAGTGTCTCAGCCAATCACTTCCTCGTGCCGACATGGACATGTCAGACCCAAGTTTGTATCATACATCAACTCACGCGCTCCTGGTCGGACGCCCTGGTGCGTTGCTTTTCTGAACCACAAGCCGGCTGTAAACGCACGGCGACCTGCCCTCTGAGAAGAATACATGCACTAACTCTCGTAGGTCTTTGGCTTCTACTCTTAGACAAATCGGAATATGTAGACGGTTACGGTTGATCAGATATCCTTGGTCGTCACTTTATCATCTTCTGCAACTTACGAGAGCTTAAACATCTCAGTTATATCAACAACGCGTGGGTTGTGCAGCCGTGGATGATGTCAGCAGTGTCTGAGTGCTTTCAGATACTGCTCGACCACACTTTTTTATTTCCACGCTCTAAGAAAAAGCCGCCCAGTGAGGTATTACAAGCTACTCAGGAAAACTTGTCTTAACATGACCTTCATTGTCTTCGGTATCTCTGTCAAATGCTTTAATAAGCAGATTATGATTTAAGAGTTCGTTGGTGGATTTCCCCAAAAACGGAAATTGGAACCATTTGCTTCTCTATTAGTGATTCGGAGGAACTACTTTCTTGTAAAGTCTTTTCATACTGCAGACTTCCCTCCAAGCCTTCTTAGAGCCTGTTCATCTTACTCTATAGGTCAAGTGACAAGTAGTACCTTGCTTCTGACTCAGACTGTTGCGATTATGGAGGCTCATGTATTATCATACCCAGTTTTGCTTGCGATAAAGGCTTCTACGAAGTCTACTCTACAACATTCGACTCAGATAAATGCCAAAAGGTGAGAAGGAGCCTTCTGTTTCTGTGTCTGTTTACTTTGTTTGGTGGATGTTGTTTGTCCTCGATCTAGCTCTACTTGTTCAAGACTGTGAATAGATCGTCGATAATTGCTCTCTTGGACGATCCGAGAGGGGTCCATTTAAATCCCGTTCCGGTAATGGAGTGCCGATTGCAAATCGAAAATTCTTTTTACCAACCCTGAATTCTCCAATCCGAAATCGACATTTTGCAGGCCGAAAAGTTTCCCGGAACTTAAAAAAACCTGACAAGTACTAGCTCTGTGAATCTCGATTTATTGGGAACTTCTGCCTGCACATAACAAGTACATCGGTTAAACGGTCAAATCATGTGAAATTTCACGCTCATCATGGGGTACAGTCACATTATGTCCAATGCTTTGGTCAGAATGCGCCCCCTAAATCATGACCTAGACACCGGTGAGGGCTAGCACTCGAGTGCTTCCAGCCCCTTCTAGTGACCAAATTCCGCACGTTCTTCCACCGTTCGGTTGGCAACATGATGAATACACCGTCTCGCACCGCTTCCCCCCACTGCAATTCGACGCGGTCACACTCCATTGACATTTTATCGGCCAGGGCTGTCTCTCTAGTCGTTTCGCGTCCCCGTATGATTCCACTTTCCTCGTCGGCGTGGCCTTTAGGGGCGCAACGAAGAGTCTGTGCCCACAGTGCTTCTTTCTACCTCTTCTATTTCTTCTTCACCCTGTCGCCGGGCCTCGCCTGCGGTGCAATAAATAACCTGCAGTGGGGCTGCTTTATTGATTGATGTGTTGGCACAATCGTACGCACACTAGCCGGGGGGCGGACAACCCCCTCCCCCGCCGAGCGTCCAGGTTTGGCGCAGTGGGGGGGGGGTGCGGGCAATTGCGTCAAAAGCATTTCTGCGCGGACAGAGTGGGAGGGGGGGGGAGGGGCTTGCTAACCCACCCACTCGGACCAGTGATAAAGGTGGACAGAGAAGAGGAGGTGGGTAAAACGGACCTTTTTGTTCATACACCGACCGTATCTTCGTGCCCTTACGGTAGATAAATTTTGTTAACATTATTTGTGGCCCTTCGGATGGATTCTAGCACTCACCCAGAACTATACTTCACTCGGCGAATGGGGGCTGTTAAATGTCAGGATGGTTCTGATGGGAAACCAGACGTCATACGGAGCAACATTACCAAACGGAGGTCGAGAAGTCCTTTTATTACGGTGGACTGAACGTCCAGAAAACGAGCACTTTACAAGTTCAGGTGAAATTAGTGAAGGTAACGGGAGTTGCTCTGTTAACACGGAACTCGTCGCATGCGGCATAACTTTTTATGCAAACACCTAAGTCGGGTGCTCACAACTTCAGCGGAATATCTGTAACTAACCACCAGTTGATAGGGGCCTCAGTACAGGATAAGCTGCCTTCACACCAACAATTGCATGAGCTATTCGCAGTATACCAAGAGAGAGAGGAGAGAGAGGAAATGCGCTTTATTTTGAAATCGTAAGTTCAAAATTTTCAGCAAAAAATTGGCTCCATTCACTGTGGGTAGTAAATAAGTTAAGAGATTATTCAACAGTCAAAGAAACGATTATTATGGGGATAGTTCAAGTCTGAGCTTCTGTATTTCTGTCTCTTCGCACGTAAGATAGCGCGCTAGGAAGGGCAATACAGAGGCTCGATAAGCCGATGTGCGACAGGGTATAAGACGGAAGTTGCGGCGCATCGGGCGGGAAGACTTGGCAGCCATAAGATCGGAATGTAGGGGATGGGCAACGTCATCTAGAATTCGACCAGCAAATTGCTTGACCGCATTGAAGTGTCGTTGTAAGATTGTGTCAACTAAAAAAATATGAGAAACGCCAGCAGCAGAAGAGAGCATGCGGAGGATTCGTTTCAAAATTAAAAGATCCTTTTTTAACAGAGCAGGAAAAACGACAGGAGAACAGTATAGGATAAGAGGAAGAATGCAGGCATCAATGAATCGCCAGACTAAGGGTTGAGGTGTGTAGTAGGAACGCAAACGACGAATGTAGTAAAGGAGTTTACGAACTTTAATAAATATGGACTCAATATGGAGGGAAAAAGAAAGATTTGAGGACAAAGTAACGCCGAGATACCTGAAAGAGGATACCTCATTAGGAAGAATGTCAGAGGAATCAGGGTACACAGATACACAGATACACAGATGTTGCAGTCCCTTTTCTGGAGTAAATAAACGTTCCTGCAATGTAATATCGTACCTCGTAAATTTCTTAAGACACAAAGGAACGTTTTTTAACAGACATGGAGAAAATTGCCCAGACGAGGTTAAAAAACTGACTGGCAAAAAGCATAACAGCAGGTGATTTCACACGCGGTAGTGTAAACTGAATACTTTTCCGTATTCGGGAAAACTAACCACGCATGCGTCGTCATTTTTCCTTTGATGTTCGAAACTTTTATAAATCCAACCGGATGTTGGAGAGGGAACGCGGATCTCGATTTTAGGGAAGCAGCTTTCTATCTAAATATTTTACTCAGATGAAGGGAATATTATTTTTTTTGAAAGCTTTCATTTACGAGAATTTTTGAGAGGCATGCGACCTACAATACTGATGTTTATTATCACTACTCACAAACCACGCAACACAGCAGTTGGAGTAAAGAAGCAGAAGACAGGTCAGGCATCGGAACAATCTGTTTATTGTCCTGAACCGTCGAACTAGTGCAGGAATCCACCGTCAGAGATAGCAACAGCAAAAGGACGAGCAACAGTACTAGTCAGTCAACAATCAGTGACGCAGGTCTGGAGGGTGATTGTGCAGGCTCCGTATGCCGGCGGCGCCCCCAGAGCGGGCCACGCGGTAGATGCGCTGGACCAACACGGGGGACATATCGGATCCTGGCAGGTGTTATCGAATTCGCGCATCATAACAAATACACACATGTCGGGGTACAGTGGCAGACCCGCTGCCGACAGACGGCGCGCACACTGGAACCCCTGCCGCCCCCATTGCTGTTGTTGATCAAAAACCTGGTCATTTGTTGTGCGGGCCAGAGCGTGTAAAGTGGCGCGCCAAGGTGCGGGCTCGTCCGTACCATCCACCTGTGCCCTTCCCTGCCTCCGGTCTTCTTGACTCTCTTGACATCGGGTTCAGGTGGGGTAGGAGGAGAGGGTGCGGTAGATGCTGCGCAAGTCTTCTATCACTATAAACTAATTCGCGCGCAAGTCACCGTGCCTGTTGCACCTTGCTGTGTAGCACACGATGGA